TGTAGGGAAGGTCCCTACTTAAGTATTGCAGGATTTCCAGCACCGCTGTGTGCATACACCAAATAAGCTACATTCCTTCTCATTGATGAAGTCACGCTTACGGCAAAGCAGGTTCTGATCAGCTTCGGTCAAAAGGAGATTTGGCTACCTGCTCGCTGAAGGGCCGAGTAGTAAATGACCCACAGGCAGGGACAAATGCTTATTATTTTTGTCAGGCTGTAGCTGATGTTGCTGCATGGGACAGAGTAAGCTGCAGGATTTCCAAAGCTTTGTAGACGTTCTAATTGCCTTTGGCTTTAGTGAAGGTAGATGCCTGCATGCTTTCCGAGGATCAAGTCTGCCAACCCATCGCCAAAGACCTCCTGACATCATTACGGATAGACTTTCAGTGAATTATTGGTTAGGGTTTTTTGGGGCCTATCCAGTTAAAATGGCAGGTTTCTTACTCTGTTTGGGGGGGTACATGGCTTTGGGGAAAGGTGTGTGACTTGCTGAAGCTCCACAACTACCTTTGGCCATTAGAGGGACAGTAGGTGTCCCAGGACTGAACATCCACAACTCTTATTACCCAGTTTGTAATGTGTTGTAGATGGTCAGTCTCTTGGGGAGAAACCATTAACATTCTGTAACTACAGAATGTGCAACTCTTCTCTCTGTAACAGGAGGGAGCTAGAGAAGATGGTAATATCAGCAATCTTACAACTGCCCTGGTCCACGAGGAGCCTGGATTCCCAGTGAGGATTGAAGAGCTATGCAGAGCTGCAGGGGACACAGCGCCCAGGCAGGACCTGCAGCGAGGGCTCAACTTCCACCACGGAGAAAGCTACACTTGTCAAAACATGGCAATGCTGGGGCCAGAGCGACTCCAGTCTCAGTGAGATGGATGAAGGACATCACAGCTGCCAGGACCGGAAGGCGGTGTAAGTGACTCCCCTCTCTTCTCTTGCATTCAGCCCTCTTCTTCCCCCTGTGCTCACTGTGACAGCAGTTCTCAATCCCCTGCACTGCTTTGTTTTGGGGCTGCTTATTTCCTTCTCCAGCATGAGAATGCTTTTAAGACGATCATATTATTCTTCACAGCAGAAACTGGACTGTGTCAAAGCGCCTAAAATATACCCTGAAGTTTATCACTTCACTTTTAAAGAATAAGAAAAGTTTCTTTCTATTAGTATCACATTGTCAATTTGCAAATCTCCAGTTCATGTAAACATTTGGTTCAGACCAGGTGCGGTGTAAATAGTGCAGAGTCTGTCTCAAGGGTTAACTCCTTTGCCCCCTTCTTTTTTTCTTAGTGGATCAGAGTTGGGTCCATCAGCAAGCTGGGCAGCTGCCCCACTCCCCATCTTGAAGCAGGAATTGTTGGAGATGTTTCTCTTTTTCAAATTAATTTTTCTTGAAAAAGGAAAAGAGACGGTTCCCTTCTGCCCCAAAGGGCTCGTTCCCCTGCTGCTCCGGCCTGAACACGGGGGAGGGTCTGGCACTCCGCTTTGCGCCATAGCCACTGGAGAAGGAATAAGCAAGCTGGCTCCATTCCTTCGGGTGTTTGTCCATCAGCTGCTGGTCAATGACCCTGTGCATGTCATCCTGCAGCAGAGGAAGAGGAGGGGGTTGTTAGTGGCAGCTGATGCTCAAAGGGAGCTTGTGCAGGGATGCGGCTGAAATGGGTGTGAAACGTGCTGTGATGAGATGGGGGAGGCATGACAAGAGTGGGGACAGGTCTAGCTCCCCACCTGGCAGCCAGCTCAGTCTTACTTGCTGCCATGAGGCTTTTTAGTAAGTGAGGAAGGTAAATCACACAATTCTGAGGGATAAATTGCTGAGGTGGTCTCGCAGAGGAGCACCGGCGTCTGCTTGGGACTCTGTGACACACCTAAACTATGTTTCTCTGCTGTCTGCAGCTTGCAGATGTCCCCTTTGAGGGGAGAAATAAATAAAAAAGAACAAATGCAGCTGAAAGCAATTGCCAGAAAAAGTAAGGATGTCTGTGCTGAGCTGATGAGGTCTATGTGCTTGCCATGTGGAGCAGGCAGGTAGGCACGACAAAGCTGCCTGCCCAGCCGATTGTTAAGGGGGGCTTCTTCAGAGAAGGTGCCACTGGGAGCTGAGGGACTGGGGCCAGGCATGGGCCCACAGACCCCATGTGGGTTTTGCACCAGACTTACTGAAGAGAACTGCACTCGTCCCTTAGACCCGCTCCTTCCCCTAGAGCCAGCAGAGCGGTGGGAGGTCTCTGATCGACAGCTTGGCATCAACAACTGCACTGTGGTTTTTCAGATATACCCAAAACGCTCTGGCTTAATCCATGTTTGCAGGACAGTGAAATTGCTCCACATCGAATAATTAGTCAGTTCTGTTGTAGCTAATGACATGCTAACGTGTTCCTTGAAAACCTGGCTATCAATTCTACAAATTTTAAACCTTCAGATCCATTATTTCTGCTATAATTGCATATTGAAATTGTAGCTTAGTAAAAATGTGTGTATACAAACCAGCCCCACAGGAGAAATCCACTGTTTTCCAGCGGTTTGGTCCCTGATTGGGACTGAGGGCACTCTCTGGTAAGAACAAGGATACTTTGGATGGGCCGTAGTGGTGGAAGCGCTGTTCATTTGGCACGTCTTGCAGGGCAGCCCATCAGGGCAGCACTGAGATGGAAGGGAAGGTGCTGCCATCACCCAGCGAGTGCCCCAGCTGGTCTGTAGCTCAATGTGGTGTAAAACCAGCCAACTTGGACTGGAAACTCGAACGATGGCTCATCTCTTGTAGCATTTTGTGCAGGGAAAAGGATAGATAGGCCTGGTCCTGAATTTAGTATGGGGACTCTCCCTGGGGGAGGAGGAGGGTGCAGAGCTACATGGACTAGGGAGGCTTTGGATCTTTTTAGAGCAGGGCTGGAAAGGGGGAAGGCAGAGGGAGAGTTAAAGAGGTTAAGGTAAACATCAGCATTAAGGTGAAACAGGTTTCTAGAGATGAAGCTGCCATGTGAAAATGTATAGCACTTGGATTTTGAAAGTACCTCGTCTAGCAAATGAGGTAGGCACCCAGGCTTCAGCATGGCAGATCCGTGTCCTTGGTTAACCACATAACAAGGGATGAGTATGATTTTTATATATCTTTATATATACACAAAAATATTATATATATATAAAAATACAGCATGGACTATTGAGAGTGCACTGTGTTTGGGTCCCTGTCTGTCCGATGTGTGAATCAGAGAGCACAGCACTCGGCTGTGCAGATTTGGGGTAGATGTACGCAGCAAGGCTGGGACAGAGCTGTGGTCCCTGCCTTGGCACTGGGCAGGGGCACAGGAGTGTCCGGGGATGCAGAGGGAGGACAAACACCAGTGGTACGATACCTGTCTGATAAAGAGGTCCCATAAAGCTGTGTAACATGGTACCAGTGTGCTCTAGGCATTCTGGGCAGAAGTTTCTGCTCTTTGCAGAAGGGGTAAGGCTGAAGGAGGTACAAATGGCATGTATCCTCTTCGTGAGCTGGACTCCCTTGCATGAGATAAGGCTTGGAGCTGCCCAAGGCGACCTAGGAGGCTGGTGGCTGTGGCCATGCAGGCTGCAGCTCTCCTCTGGCATTGTAGCATTTTCTAACCTGCGATGCCCCTGTTGCTACTGCACTGAAGCCACTGAGCTCTCATTTCAGAGGAGCAGTCCTCTTCACTTCCAAGTTTGCTCTGTACTCCTTTCCTACTTCTAGTAATGCCCCTCCTGCCCCCAATCAGATGATGAGTATCAGTGTGGGTCAGATTAGGCCTGGGAGTGAGGTGCACATCCACTCCTCTGCTAGGCTCAGATGTGTGGGATTTTGCTTGTGGCATATTTTATAGCTTGCATGATTATGTGCTTACAGAAAACTGTAATCTTGTTGATGGTCTTTGGTAAAGTGTGGACTAGAAATGTGCAAGAGCAAAATTTTATCACATTAAAGCCTCCATTTATGACCAGCTGAAGCAGAGAATCTCATCCCATTTTATCAGAAACATTCAGCTTTGCAAAATAGTCCCCAAAATACATAAATCACCTGACTTGTTTTGTGCCTCTGTGGTTGAGCTTCTGTTCTGGCGACATTAGGAAACTATTTTGCTACTGCATAATAACACTTCAGGTCAGTATGTTGGAGACAACTTCCTGCAGTTCTAGTGAGCCTGATCCTCATCTCAGAGAGCTGATGGGAGCAGGTCTGGGGTTGCTGTATTGCTGCAATTGGGCGACATAGTGTGAAGTGAGAAAACAAATGCCTGTTGTTAAAACCCTAAGGTGTGGATATTCCAGCACTAAATACTGAATGTACTAGTAAGTACGTCTCAATTTATACCACCTATCCAAACTGAAGCAGAATTTGGATACAGACAGCTCCTATGCAGAGCACTCAATGTCACTTACTAGATAATGAGACTGAGAAGTAAAATCCCAGTCTGTATTTCAAGAAGTTTCCCAGATACTAGATATGCCAAATACAGAGGATTAATGATACGTGTGCCTCAGCCTGGCTTTCCCCGCAGCAACCTGCCCCTATGAGCAGGGCAGTGATCGTGCCCCTGTGCTCAGCACTGGTGAGGCTGCACCTCAAATGCTGTGTTCGATTTTGGGTCCCACAGTTCAAGAAGGACATTGAGGGGCTGGAGCATGTCCGGAGAAGGGCAACGAAGCTGGTAAGAGCACAAGTCTGTGAGGAGTGGCTGAGGGACCTAGGGGTGTTCAGTCTGGAGAAGAGGAGGCTGAGGGGAGACCTTATTGTGCTCTACAACTGCCTGACCGGAGGGGGAAGCCGGGGGGGTCAGTCTCTTCTCCCAAGTAACAAGCGATAGGATGAAGGGAAATGGCCTCAAGTTGTGGCAGGGAAGGTTTTGACTGGATATTAGGAAAAATTTCTTTACTGAAAGAGTGGTCAAACATTGGAACAGGCTACCCAGAGAGGTGGTGGAGTCACCATCCCTGGAGGCATTCAAAAAATGTGCAGATGTGGCACTTCAGGACATGGTTTAGCAGACAAGGTGTTGTTGGGTTGACGGTTGGGCTTGATGATCTTGGAGGTCTTTTCCAACCTTAAAGATTCTATGACCTAGGGGGTTCTCCTGGTTCTGTCTGGGATAGTTAATTTTCTTCCTAGTAGCTGGCATACTGCTGCGTTTTGGATTTAGCATGAGAATAATGTGATAACACACTGATGTTTTAGTTGTTTCTAAGCAGTGCTTATACTAAGTAAGTCAAGGACTTTTCAGCTTCCCATGCTCTGCCAGAGAGGAGGTGCACAAGAGGCTGGGAGGGAGCAGAGCCAGAACAGCTGACCCAAACTGGCCAAAGGGGTGTTCCATACCACATGATGGATATAAACTCAGGATATAAACTGGGGGGAGTTGGCCAGGGGGCAGTGATCACTGCTCAGGGACTGGCTGGGCATCAGTCGGCAGGAGGTGAGCAGTTGCATCACTTATTTTTCCTGGGTTTTATTCCTCTCTTTTTTGTTGTTTTTGTTAAACTGTTCTTATCTCAATCCATGAGTTTTCTCACTTTTGCCCTTGCAATTCTGTCTCCCATCCCACCAGCAGCGGAGGAGGGTGAGTGAGCAGCTGTGTGGTGCTTGGTTGCCAACTGGGGTTAAACCACGACAGGGGTAAAGCCTCACCATTGGGTGCAGGATGCTGCCCCTTGTGCCCTGCCCTAGTGCTGGGGTGAGGGTGTCTGTGTGTGCAGAATACCAGTGGGTGATGGAGATGATCCCCCACTGGCCCCTCTTGCCAGATGATGGCGAGGACAGAGACAGATGCAGGTGATGGTGACAGCGAATGGAGCAGGCAAGGGGCTGGCGGGGGGGGGGGGGGGGGGGGGGGAGCTCACCTCAAAGGCAGGAGGGGTGTACGACTAAAGCTGTTGGTACAGGAACTGAGAAAGGCCACTAGATCAGAAACCAAAGGAGCCAGATAGTAAAAAGCCCTGAGGAAGCAAACTGTAAGCAGGAGAAAGAAAAGAAAAGAAAAAAAAGAGAAACGAAAACACAGTGGAGTTGAAACAGGAGCGAGGTTGTACGGGAGAGGTTTCTACCGGTCAGGCTGGTTGTTAGTAGAGTCAGGGTCTTGCATGGTCTGCAACAAATTACTACAACTGGCCCGGACCTTTTCTCTTGTATCTGCTTGTTTCCTATTAAAGTAGCCCTCCCTCGGCGCTAGTTTCTGGGAGGAGACAGTTTTGTCTGTTCTTAAGGGCTCTCTGCCTTTACATGGGTTTTCCCCACTGACCTCAAGCAGAGCATCTCCAGGGCAGCTGCTGAACTGCCATGGGTTTGGGTTTTTTTTACCTTGGTGGAGAGCTGGGATTTTAGCTTCTCCATCTTGCTGGATCTTCTGAGTTGATGACAACAGTGCAGCTATACCGCGAAACAATCACCACAACCTCTCTGCCTCCCACCTTTCTGCTCCATTATGGAAATGCAAGGACATGCTGTGCCCACACATCCCCAGGGCTGCGCTTGCCCAGGGACATCTCCTGCATGGACACCTTCCCTCCCCAGGCCACAGCAGGTTATTCTGCAAAGTGTATGTTACTCATGTCGCATGCAGCCATGTGATACAGTTTGTTTCTCCACTTTAAAAGGCTATTCCTGTATAATTAATTAACAGCTCACAGCTGAAAGGCTTTGAGCAGGGGAGGGCTGTGTTCCACACACCCCTCCCAAGCACCACTGCATTGCTGGCTCCTGCAGAGCCCAAAGCAAGGCCTCCTATCTATGGATACTTGGGCTGAGAACACAGCAAACCCACAGGGAAGGGGGAAAAGTTACCCAAAGGTGCCTCCTGGGACGCGTGCCACCCAGACCCTGCCCTGAGGTGACCAGGGGCTGCTCACCTGCCAGGCCTCTAGCTGCTGCGAGAGGTTCACCTTCTGCTGGATGGCGTCCAGCAGCTGGCTGTTGAGGGACATCATGTCGATCTTGCACTTGGCCAGCTCCACCTCCACCGCGTTCTTCCTGGGGGGAGAGCAAGAAAGTGGGGTGTGTGACTTTTTTTTTTTTTTTTAAAGGAAGTGTTAAACATATCCTTGAGGAGAAGTCAACAATTTCTTTCATTGGCAAGTCCCCAAAGACGAAGCTGTTCATCTCCATTGTATTCTGGACAATCTAGTCATCTGAAGAGTGGGACAGAACTGTAGACATCATTACTACAAAACCAGTGGATTTCTGGTAAGCACACTAAGAAGAATACAAAAAGATATTCAGATACACTGCTGTGTAAGATAATATAGGGTGCCTGGATAATGTGTAGAATCTGCCATTGAAAATTGAGATCTAAAATGAGCTAGAATCTACATATAAATATTTTTTCCTTTTCTTCTGTTTACTAATGCATAGGAAAGAAAATGGTATACGGTAAAAAGCAAATGATCTGTATCAGATCACTTGATCAACAAGTTGCAGTATAAAACAAACCAAAAACCCTCAAAGAATACAACTCTGCTTTGCATTGGGACTTGGACTGAAAGGAAGGAAGAAATGAAAGAAGAAAGTTTATCACAGCATATGCTTTTTAAGAATGACAAACTGTTAAAGTTGTTTGAATTAAATGTTTTCTTTAAGGAAAGCTCCCTGTTTCAATGGGGTTGTGCCAGCCATTGTGAACACTGCTGCTGCATTTCCTTCCAGGCATTTGGTAGCCACCAGGCATGTGACTCCATGGCCAAGGTCGCCCAAAGGGCCTGAGTACTCGGTGGCTGAGATCTTCCAGCTCCTACAGGCTAGTGGAAAGGGATTGTCCTCTAGGAAGGAGCCATTTCCTAAGCTGCCCTAGCTGGCCTATGCTGCAAGCACACAGGTGAGCACAAACCTTAAATTTTCAATTAACTGCTGTGTGATGGGAAACCATAACGTGACTCGCTGGGAACCATCTTTCCTTGCAAACATTTTCGGGAGAAATAATTGCATCTTATTAACTGTAGCTAATTCATTGCCTCCTAATAGCTCCCTTGTGCTCCCCTGCAGAAGAGCAATTTGGGAATTTGTGTTTATATTCCAGGTAGTGGTTGCTTAACATCTCCTATTATAGGATCCTATTTTCCCATTGCTTCCCATGTTGCCAAACTTCAGCTTCAAGCTAAAAATTTTCCATGCCAGATGTCTGCCTCAGGCAGTGATTTTATTTCTGTTCAGAGTTAGGGCTTTTTTTTTGGGAGGGCTTCAACAAAAGTGACTTAACCCTTGAGGTGCGAGGTGGGAAGCATATTATGAGCCTCCCAAGCGTCTTGCTGCCTGGGAGCAGTCCGCTCAGCCTGTGGAGGGATGCTTTCATTTCTAGCAACAAGACACTCTTGTCTGCTTTCACTTGCAGCCACTTTCTGCTCATTAATCACCCGCCACTCACCCATGCACACTTGTCATGTCCCCCTTTCTCTCAGCTCCTGTCACTGCAGGACAGTCGGCCGTAAATATTAGTGCTTTGTCCCAGTGGGGTCATTAACCGCTGTGGAGAAGCTGTACCCTTCCACTCATGGCTGTGGGTTTGAGCACCTTAAATAGCCTTTTGTTGTGAAGCTCCCCACTGCTGCTTGGATATTACCGGGGGATTTATCACGGTGGCAGTGCGTTGCCATAGCCACAGCAGAACCAGCAACCCACACGCACTGGAAATGTGAGAACCAGCTCTCTGCACCCGGCAGTGCAGCTGGGATGCTCCTGATTTTTGCCAACAGATGGAGGTGTTACAGAGGACAGTGATGGGAATTTGGTAGCCAGCTACCCAGGCAAGAGCAGCACAGATGATCGGGTCACTTAAAAAAAGGTGAAAGGATTGTGCGTGCTGATTTAGCTCCCCACATCCTCAGAGGTGCAATGCTCTTGTGCTCCTCCTCTTGCTGGGGGCTTGAGTATTAGGTATTTCCATAAGGAGATAGTCTGGTGGTGTCCCAGCCCATCTGCTTATTGAAGAGATTATCAGATGTGTCCTTTCTACCTAGAGCACAGGGGGGTGAATGTTTCTGCCACTCTCCTCGGGGCAAAAAAGTGCTCAGGGCAGTGTGGCAAGTCCAAGCACAGAGCTGGGGAAGCAGGGTATGGGGTACAGGGTAGCAAAACTGCATAGGTTTGCAAGGAGGATAGGGAAAAGAAACAGTCAAACAGTTAAGAGTATCCTGAAAGGAGAAATAGAGAATTACAGGACTGGAGGTGCAAAAAAGGCCCTGGAATAAGAAAGGAGAACAAATGACCGAAGAGATGGTTTAGGGAAGAAGCCCAAGCAGGGCTGTAATGGGGATGGGCAGGAAAGCAGGGTTGTGTGTCTGGGGGAGCAAAAGAAGAAAAATATGACAAATAGGGCAGACCATTGGGTTCCCTGAAGTCCTCTCCTTGCTGTGACTCAGACCAGCAGGAGGGATGGCAAAAACATGGTTCACAGCATCCTCCTAAATGTCCCCAATCCTGCCATGGGGCAGCTCAGGAAATTGGCATCTCCTGCCCTGCACCAAGCTCCTGGCAGCATTTCCCAATGCCAGCAAAGCTGAGACTCACTCCATCACTTTGTAACAGCTACTGAAATTCATGGAGGGTGGGAGAAATTCACCCTGGAGGCATCTCCTACTAAAGCACTCCATAACTGCTAGCCCAGCCTGTCTTTGGCTGTTCATACCACTTACTTGGCAATGGCTTCATCTCGGTCCCTGATGGCCTGCAGGAGCTGTTCACTTGTCTCCTTGTCTTCAGCAGCACCTCGCAGCCGGTCCCGTTCCTCCTTCAGCGTCGTCATTTCCACACTCAGCAGTGTGACCTGTGGGCAGAGGGAGAGCATGAAACCCAGGGCTGCTCAGACAAATTCATCATGAGTGGCGGGAAAAAAAAGCCACATAGGCCAACCTGGAGGCTGAGCTCCCCTGCTTTTAGGAGAAGCTGTGTCTGCTGGGAAGGGGCTGTTAGTGCTGCTGCAATCCCCCATGCAATGCGCCAGCTTGCCCTGGGATGCCAGCAGTGCCGGTCTGAGCAAGATGGGTCACCAGGACAGCCTCAGTAACATGCAGCAACAGCACTGAAAGCTGTGCAGCTGCATGGGGCAGGACCCACCTGCAACTTTGCTGTCACTACAGCATCAGTGCTGAAATACTGCCCCTTGTCAAGCACTTTGTCTTGCACACACATCCTCTGAGTCTGCCTGTTGTATTCTGATCTTTCCAGGGTTAAATTATTGCAAACATCATTTAGTAGCAAATAAGATTTTTTGGAGGGGGCCCTTGTGTCTCTTGAAGCAGTATGATGCTGAAGACAAAGGATGTGAAAATTCCCTTTCACACCATGAAAGGTGTTACTGGCACATCTTATAATTTTAATTAGACTTTAAAATATGTGCAGAGTCTTAAATAGCCTGAGAAATGATCTATCGTTTTGGTCCTGTGCAGAGTGAGTTAATAGTGTGTGAAATCATGCAAGGATTACATTAGCACAGCTTTGCAATATTTCATACACATTTAATTTCTTTGTCTAGGGCACACATGCTCTGTTATGCTACTCCACCACCTGGAAACCCTTCCAGCATTTAACCCACCTCCCTTCTCTAAATGCAGCTCAGTAGTGCTTGAATCCTCAAAGAAATCTTTAAATAGAGGGCAGACAGTCAAAAAGGGCTCATCACATCAACGGCGTGGGAGGATCTGCCGTTAGCACGGCATGGCTGGGTCAGGGGGAGGAGGGTGCAAACAAGCCCTGTCTGTGTGCAGAAGCTCCCCGCTGTGTGCTGGGGCTGCCAGGGAATCAGGAAGCTCTGCCCAGGCTGTGCCCTCCTGCAGCCCAGCATGGAATGCACCTCAGAGCAATGATGTGACGGAGAGCGGTGTGAGACCTATGTGAAAGGTGCTGAGCAATTCTGCTGAAATCCCAGGGGACAGTGGATCAAGAGGCCCAAAAAATGCATTTGGGCATAGGCTTGGGGTTTTAACTGTTTTTGTCTGTGTTTCAGGTAAGAATGGGATGCCACAGGGAGAGGATACAGACCAGGCAGAAGATGCAAAACTGCTTTCCAGTGTAGACAGAGGCGGGGCCAATTCCTGACTCCAACCAGCTTACCTTGCTCTCAGGCAGGAGCAATGAATGTGTGTGGTGCTACAAGGTCCCAAAAGCCATTTAGGAGTTCCCCTTTTATTGTAGCAATACCAGTGACAGCACAGAAGGATGCAGAGGCAGCAAAGCACTGCTGCCCCAGGTGGACCAGATTTCCATGTGCATTGATTTTCTTTAGTACTGAACTGAAGAAAACATCGCCTCTTCTATGGGAGGTGAGAATAACTATTAACCTTGAGCAAGTGTGAGGTTGTGTTATGGGCAAAAGCTGTGGGAGATGTGTACTTGCTGCGTGAGGCTGAAGTGCTTCTCTGAGAGCAATGTCTGCTGCATTTGTAGTTATGCCCCATCTTTCTTCATATAGCACAGAGGTGTGAGAAGAAAGTAGAACTGCAGTCTTCCCTTTGCTCCCTGAATATTCAGAGTGTTGGTAGTCAGGGACCCCTAAAAGCAGAGACGGGGGTCCAGACTTGTGATCCAGGGTGGGTCCGCTGGTCCTTCCTGGCTGGGGAGTTTGGGGAGACCAGCCACAGCAAAGAACAACCAAGTGCTGCTCCCTCCTGATGTCCTGTCAAGGCCTCGTGCCCGGGAGCACTGGTAAGGAGGTGCTGTATCCATATGCTGCTGGCATATGAATGGTCGCTCAAAATCTGTGAATAAGCCTGCAATGGTCTCTGTCAGCACAGGACTATGGCAGCACGGCCAGAGGAGCATCTGGGCTCATGTCTCACTGGGGACACAAGTTTGGACCCTTGAAGGTGTCTCTTGTGGTGGCCACATCGCTGAGAGGAGCAGTCCTCAGGGCAGGACAGGTGCCAGGGCTGCTCCTCCGCTGCAGTCTGCCTCTGATCAGCTGCTTTGCCGGCGAGTTTATTTTCCATCCTTGTACTCATGCAGCCATCACTGCCAGACGTATTTAATGGTGGTCTTACTCTTTTTTTTCTTCAGCCCCATGGTGGGAGCTCCCATAAGCTCTACAGAAGGCTGTCAGACCCCAGGTTATGCTGACTTTGCGAACTGGGATGTGTTTTCCTTTCTCTTCTCCAAAGGGGTACAGCAAAAGGGCAATACAGTGCCACTGGCCAGACCACCTAAGGGTGTTAATCCTACTCTCTGCTCCAACACAGTTGGTGCCACACAAGCAGCTGTGTTAAAGGCTGCTTCTGCTGCAGCCTCCAGATCCCTCCCAGCATTTGCAGACTTGTCCCATAGAGATAGGGATGGCAGAGCATCTCCTCAAGTGCCTGTCTCCATTTGCTGCTTTTGGCATAAGACCTCAGACACAGATGATGTTCAGTGTGGATGCAGTGCGATTCTGTGCTTTGGGTGTCGTGTTGTTTTGGGGGTTGGATCATTCATTGCTGTTGAGATTGTCTTAGCCAGTCCCTGTTGGCCCTGGAATGTTGCCTGGTGCCATGACTGAGATTCTTAGGTGTGCATTTATGAGGGTTTTGTGATGCTGCTGTGGAAGGGGGTGAACCTTGCACCTTGCACAGCAGAGCAGCACTGTTTTGCCCATCCAGTGGCTGGATATACCCCTTACAAGGGCTTAGTGCAAGCAAGGCAGGTCAGACTGGATACCTGTGGGTTTCCAGTACCCCATATCAAGCAGCCTTGTACTTTGGGGTCTTCTGCTGAAGAAGAATTTAAGTGAGACAGGTTGGCTGAGAAGCAGATTGGGGGAAAGGTTTAAAGGAAGTTTGGCTGCTGGAGATGGTGTCTGGGATGGACCCCAGACAACTTGTCAAAAACTCAGATCCTAAATGCATGAAGCCTCTCTGCTAGGTTTAACAGAGCCTCCCTCATCCAACCATAACTGGTTGTGGGCCAAATCTTCCTGGGTCATTTATCATGTTGATCTCTTCTATGGAAGGCATGTCTCAGAGAGTGAACACTGGTGTTACGAGACCATGTGTAAAGTGTGGGAATTGCTAACCTGGCTGTGCAGTCGCTGCAGCTCCTCCAAACTCTGCCTCAGTTTCCCCCGTTCTCCCTCCATTAATTCCCTCAGGGCTCGCGAATCCTCACTTGTTCGCCTGATCTGTTCCTCTAAGGTGTCGTCGTCACTTCGTCGAGAGCTCTGAGAGCGGGAGAGAAATCTCTTGCTCAGATTTCACTTTAAAAAAGGCAATTGCATTAATTTGATACTGGTTTGGGATGGGGGGGTACTAAACAAGGAAGAAGAAAGTGTGAATGTGACTGTGGTAGAGTTTCAGTTTTGTTCCCATATACCTCCACAGTGGAAACATGCTCAGTCAAGGGCAGTGCTTCTACACATGATAAAAAGAGCATGCAGACATGTTCTCACCTTAGCATAAACCACATTAACAGAACCCTACTCACCACTTGGTAACATATAGCTACAGTATCTGTGTTTCTAGACCCTTTGCAGGAGTTTCTATTTTTTTTTCCCTCACCATAGCATCTCAGATAAGTCATACTGGCAATGCAACCAGCTTGTGGGTGATGGAAATAGGCCTGATTTGAACCTTTGAAAAAGTGAGGTGTTTTCTTGAAATTCTGTGCTCCTGTGGATGCTGAGTGGTCCTCCATGACATCCCCTCCTCCCCAGCAGCCCCAGGACCATATCCCACAGACACCATCTTGTGCCAGCAAAACCCTTCACCTGTCTATGAATTTGAGTCTGGCAGCTCTTGCCAAGACATTTGTACCCAGTGTCAATTTGCAGGGGCAGAACATACCCCCACAGGGGTTATGGTGGTTTTGTGATACTATTGCTAATAAAGCAAGGTTAGGAAAATCCTCAGGGAAATAACTGAACTGTGATGTATAAGACAATCTGCAGTATTTCCACACTGAAACTCTAACTTACTGCAAATCTCAAAGAAAGCCTACTTTCATTAATTTTCCAGAATGACTCCCAGATCAATGACAGCTGCATAAGCTTGAAACTTAGAGCTGTCTGACCACTGCAGGCTGGAACTGCATGTGCTGGCTTGGCTCTTGGCTGACCATTTGAGACATATGAAGCAGGCTATGCACTGTGACAGCCCATCTCTGTGGGCTACAGAGGTTTTCTTGGAGACTGGGGACTTCGGGATCCAGCAGAAACCTGCAGCAAGCTCTGTCACCCAGGCAAGGGGACATGCACAAGCCAAGGTCTTTCTGTGCCACCAACTTACCGTGGAGTCTGCCCCATCCAGCACATTTTGTATCAGTCTTTTCAGCTCGCTGAGAGCCGCCCTTAGGCTGCCAGCTGGGACATCTTTGGCTGATGAGGTTTCTGAAGACTCATCCATAGAGGAGTCTGTAGAGACTGCTGAGTCTGCGCTGTCGTTTCCTCTGAGATGGGAGCAGAGATATCGCACTTGGCAATATGCTTCCCAGAGCTGCAGCCTCAGCTGGAACAAGAGAGCCTGACATTAGCCTGGGACATCAAGGCCATGGAGATGCTCCTTCCACGGTGAAGTGAGGCATGTGATTACCAAACCTCACAAATATTTGTCTAGCTTGCTATGTTGGTTTTGAAATGGATGCAGAGATTTACTTTCATAGAGGTCCATGGGCTTTCCCAGGGGCCGGAGGGCAAATACCTGTTCTCGTTCTTGTTCCAGCTCCTCTGCCTCCATGCTCTGCTCTATCTCAGATAGCAGGGATGTGCTGGTTGTGTTGAAATTTTGGAGACTTCTCTCCTCACTGAGCTCTTCTACTTTCCCCTGCAGCTGCCGGTAGGACAGCCGCACCTCCTGGAGCTCCAGCTGGCTTTGGTGCAGCTTGCAAAGAAAATCAAGGAATTTGTCAAGGAAGTAGGAAAAAAAAGTATTAGTGGAGGTGATACGGAATTGGATGATTCTCTTGGTTTGTGAAGGAGCTGAGAGGGAGGAATGGGTGTCACAAAAGAGGATTTCCAGCCAGGAGGAAGGTACTCTTGGCTGGTATTACTATTTATTGGAGCTTAATAATCTCCAAGTGTCATTAGACACTGTTTAGACTCTAGAATATCCTGAAAGATAAAAATAGCAGGTTAATCAGCACTAAAATGAGGAACATCATGAAGTTGGGACTCAGGTAAAAAAATTTGCTGAAAACAACACATCAGGAAGTGAATCCAAAAAGAAAAGTAATATAGATGTGATTTAAAAAAATCTATATTCATATAATAATAACAACAATAACAACAATAATAATAACAATAATAGAAATATATATAAAGGGGAAAAAAGATTCAGGGCTATTCTGGAGAGCTAGGGTTCCAGTAGTTACCAACCTGCAGAACAGAAATGAAAAAATTTTGCTCTCTACTAAGATGCGTGAAGACACAGAGGTGCCAGCTTGTTCTACGGGGAGTAACATTTGGTGACACGTGGCTACAAACACCACGGGGCTTGTTGGGAAACCATCTGAGCAGTGAGAGCTATGAGGACAGTTACTACCCTCTGGGACAGCAGGGTCTAAAGAAGCCCCTTCTGAAGCCAATTCTAATATAAAAAAATTAAGTAAAATTAACTACAACCAGAATTCTCTGCTTCCTTTTATGTTTCCCTCATTTCCCCAATACCCTGTCCCACTCCCTTTTCAGATGTCCCTCCCAAGCTGCTCTTTGCTGTCAGGATGCCCCATTGCAGCTCCTGTTATCTGTCCCTGTGGGGAACACCCAGGACCCTGCTTGCTGCCATGCTTACATGAGCCATTTTATTCTTCCAGTTGTTTTACCTCCCAGTTCCTGATTATCTCCCTGGTGAGTTTTACCCCAAACCACGTCTTTTACTCCATTTCCCCCCTCTTCCCTGTCCCCTTGCTGCCTCCTCACCTGCAGGTCCTTGTCATGGCTTTGTCTTTCCAGGATGAGGACTCGGTCCTGCAGCTCCTCCACGGTTCCTTGGAGCAGGTCATTCTCCTCCATCATGGCACTAAGGCGATGCTCCAGCTCCCGCTTTCTGTCCGTCAGCATTTTGATCTGTGGAGGAAAGAGAGGCAGTGTTGGACCCTGCGCTTTCCAGGGAGAAGAGAGGATGGAAGAGAGAAATGAAACAGCAAAAAGCAAAAGCATGTACATACATGTTCTGTACCTGTATGAGAGAAACTGTATCTCTGTGTGTGGCTTACAGCTTAGGAAGCCTCTGAAAGGAAACTCCTCCTTCCCTAGGCTGCAGGGGCAGGTCCAAAGGGGCTGGGTGCATTGGCAGGAGGCTAGGGAGCAGGCAGAAATGTCCAAACGGATTAAGTGGAGACCAGCCCTGCATACCCCTTGTACCTTAAAATTTGCAAGACTGGGCAAACCTAGTTGCTTTTTCCTGGCTGGTCCCCAACTGAGCATGGTGGCATTTTCTCCTGTATGGGTGCTTGAAACCACAGGGTGAGCCTGCAGGACCCTGCTCCCCGCAGGGCTGTGCCACAGCACTGCCCATACACTTTTCTTAATTGCTGTATGTTTGCCAGGTCCTCACTAGGGATTTTTCTGTCTTTTTACTTGTGATGAATCCTTTCTGTGCCATGCTTATTTTTAGTCTCCCAGTGATCGGTTGCTTTTAAAATTGGTTCATTTCTTTTAATTGTCAAGGGCAATGATTTCAGGTGAGAAGGGACAATGTGCCAAGCAAAATCTCTGTGATTCAGTTAGCTGGGAACAGTGCACAGGATGAATCAGCACTAGCCAAGGTCACTCCTTGTTTAAGCAAGAAAAAGTAGCCTTTTCCCAGATTAGTACACACAGGACCTCTGGGGACTGGGTATGCCATTTACCAGTCCAGTACAACCCTAAATATTCCCTATGGCCTCCTTTTAATTCATGGACCATAGACAAATTCAGCAACTTCCCACTGGTTTCTTGGCCTCTTTGGGACCTTGTCTCTTTGCTGCTTTCCAGGTTGCTGGAAAGATTTGGCTGCATGAAGGAATATTAGCAAAGTGTGTGGACTTGCTATTTCTGCAGGGTAAAGGCTGCTGTAGGTATTAGAAAGCTGCTTTTAGGTGACTAATGGTTTCTGAGGTATCTCTTCCCACCACCATCATGATTTGCGTGGGCTGGAGAAAAGGGATGTGAGATGTGAGAAAAATAAGAGGTATAATACAGAGATTGTATCAAGAGTTCATATTTGGTACCCAAATCAGTAATGAACACCCTGTGAATGACTGTGTAACAGAAAAAACATTGCTCTGCCGTGGGCCCTGGGCCATAGGAAGGGCACAGAGGGAAAGGGATTTGGAAAGCAAGAGACAGGAAGGAGGCAAGGAGGCAAGGTGAGGCATGCATAGTGACAGGCATGCATGATGACAGCAATGCACCCGCGGGCAAACCCTTTCCGAGCCTCTATACTTACTTCAAGGACCTGCTGCTCCACACCAAGGGGAGGGGGAGAAAAGGCGAGGGACCAGGAGGGAGCAGGTGGGAGTGGGAGAAAAGAAGAAATTGAGAGGTTTTAGGAAAAGCTCTTCCAAACAGCTTATAAATAAAAAAAGCCATAGGGTAGTAGTTGGACATCTACCCCTCTGGTTGCTGCCTACATGGTCTTCAGTGACTCCCATCAGGGAAGGGAAGAAGAAGAAAGGTAAAATCATTCCTAATGTACCAGAGCTAAACCAGGCAGGGACTCCTTGCTTTCCCACATGTGTGGCTCAGAGACAGGAGAGGATTGCTGCTTTCTTTGCAAGCGTGAGAAATTGAAAAAAAACCTCAACTGTGCAGACCTTCCCACCATGCCCCAGAGTTTAATCTGTACTGGGCAGCAGCCCTGCAAGAGCACAACCATGGTTTAGCTCCTGGAAGATCCTTCTGATCCGTTCATTTTGCAGGCATGCTTGTGACTGAGGCAGCGGTGGAAGCTGCCTAGTGCCACTCCGGCCAGCCCTGGGTTGCAGCAAAAATCCTCATTGGGGGAGTCCTTTGCACCACAGCTACCATCCTTCTCTTTGTTTGCTCCAAGAAGCAGGTTTTGATTACCCAGTTCAGAGGGGTTCTTTATACAAGTTAAAACAGCCCTGGCCATCTTTTGGAGTGAGGCCGAGCACAGGAGACTCACCTCAGCCTGAAGGCTCTCGAGCCGTACAATGTGTTGGCTGCTGGAGGAGTTCTTCTCCCGAAAGTCCTCCCGGAGGGTGTGGACCTGCAGGGAGAGCTGCCGCTCCACCTCGGATGCCTGCAAGGAGACACCAGCTGGCATTACCCTGGGGGGTCATCCCATAGACAGAAAGTGGTTATCTCCTCCTGCCCATGGGAAGATCTGACCCAATATGACTCTGCACAAGCCCTAGTTTTGGCAGAAACTGTGAAGCCTGCAGAGTCTAGACAAGCGAAAAACTCATCCTGGCCGGACACTGGAGAGAGCAGTCATTTAGACTGTGTTGATTTTCCCCTGGGGCAGCCAAAGGCCATAGCCAGCAACTTTCTTCCACTGCAAAATTGCATGATGACTCCCATGCCCTACAGGGAATTCAGTTTTCCTCAAAAATAGTAGCCTGATTGGGGCTGAGGAGGAGACCAGGCCACTCGCAAAGGCAGAGGGGAGGCAATCTTCATAGACCCTAGGAAAAACTGCTAATAAATTTACGCTTTCTAAACCTCTGAACATCTTTGGCACAGCTCTAAAATAACAAGTGCTCTTTGCCTCTGATTTCTGGCTCCCATCAGGGCCAGACGGAGAAGCATCCGCTCCACATGACTACTGGTGTAGGATTGCTGGGCTTGGCCCTCTTTCCCATTTCGAAGGAGGGATGCCCCATTTATGCAGGGTGGTTTGAGGACAGTGGAAAGGCCATTCCTACCTGCAGGATCCAGGCTGCAGACAGCCTGTATAAATGACAGCTTAGACATGTTAACTACTCTCCAGACAGCTTTATGGCTGATTTTTACATGGTGAACACACTTGTTTAGGCTTGTAAGAGAACATAAGGTTTTTATGACAAATCCCTAATGAGACAGCACAAATGGATGGTTTTCTATTTAATTAGCCTCCATCAGGTTCCATTACACTTAGGCACAGACCTCCCCCCCCCCCCC